CGGGTGTGAGGTTTCCCAGCCCTGCCCCAGGCCCTGCCCAAGGGGGTTAATGCTGCACAGGCAGAGCGAGGTCACCCTGGGGAAGAATTACAGAATCATTACGGTTGGAAAAGCCCTCTGAGATCATAAAGTCCAACCGTCACCCCAACACCACCATGGCCACTAAATCATGTCCCAAAATGCCACATCTATGTTTTTTTTGAACACCTCCACTACTTCCCTGGGCAAAGAAGCAGCAGCATGGCTACGGTGCTGTGGGGGGGCCAGGATCCCTCACATAAAACGATGGAGATTTTGGATGCCAGCCCCTCTTGGCACCCAATGCCATGCCCAGAGCGGACACCTCTTCCCAGTCGCAGCTATAGGAGCTGTTTTCTGCATGGTTGGAGTGTTCAACACACGCTGAGCCCTGAGGAAGCGGGGGACAGCAGGTGCTGGAGCGCGGTGCAGCCGTTGACACCTCAGGTGGCTGCGACAGCGCTGACTCAGCCACCACGACAGTGTCAAGAAAGCACAGATGCCACCAAACAAGTACCTGGATATTCAAACAAGAAATCAGTGTGGCCTTGTGGGGCTAGGAAAAGGTGAACACTGACACTAACCCTTCCACTCTCCAGTATATCTAAGTTCATGATGAGACGTGTTCCTGGGTCTCACCTCGTGCTTGAGGCTCCAGCAGATGTGCTTGTAACAGCAGTTTGCATCATACCTGTTTAAAATCACTTTGAAGTAAAATACTGTTTTTATTGGCAGCATATCACCCCAGATTAGGTGCATGTTTTAAATTACTCAAAGCCATAAGATACGCTCTTAGAATATTTTGGTACTTCCCTAGGGAAGGGAGACTTTAAATCTATCCCAACTCAAATTAAAGGCATCAGGGACTTCATAAAAGCAGATTATTTTGGAGCTAGTGTCACAAGCCAGGCAAGGAGGATGGATTCTCTATTTCACCAGTATCTTATTTACAGAATAACCTGCCTAAACCATTTCTTCCCATTTCTAGGCATTTTGTCATTCTTCAGATGAGGAAATGTAATTTTTCCTTCTCATCTCTACCCAGGCATGCTGGTGGGAACACCCTCCCTGGTTCCCCCAGCTCCGGAAATGTCGGTCCTGCTGGTTATGGAGGTTTCCCCAGCTGGTAGGGGAGGGCACAGTGTTTTTGGAGCACTTGTGTTTTTCCTGATCTCTTTCCAAAGACCTTTTCCCTAGTTCGGTTGACAAAAGCTGCTGGAAAGCCCCTCCCCAGGGGAGGAGAGAAGACATGATTGATTTTCAAGAATAACTTCACAACATTAAAACAAAACAGGATTGGTGCTGCTGTCAACGGAGGAAGGGTCTAGAGGTGAGCACCGCTGGTGTGACACGTTCAGGGCTTTGCAGGATCATGTTTACCTGTCGCCTGCCTTGGTGGAGATCTGGTGCTGCCTGCAAGCCGTGGCAGTCGGGTCGCTTTCTGCCCTGCGCCAGGGAGAAGTGCCAACCGCCGAGCTGTAGAGGAATCAGCACAACCGCCAGGCAGGGACAACAGGTCGGCGCGCAGGAAAAACAAGTGTTAGAAGATCTGGAAATGCCCCTTGTAAGGAGAGAAACCGAGACCCTCTTCCAAGAGCAGCCCGAGGCTGGGAACCAGTATTTGGAAGATGCTTTGCTTCGGAGTTACTTGAAAACGCACCTTCCTCCTAAGGTCTGGAGTGCATGTTTGTGTTTCTGTGTGTACTTGCTACGATGCTGGCTAGGTCACTGTTTAAGACTGTGAACGGAACATTTCTCTGAGCCTTCTCTTTTTGTGTCTTCAAGCGTTTAACTTGGGGAAATTTATCAGCATTCTTTAAAACTTCTTTTCTTTGAATCAGTGCAGGGGTTAAAAATACTGCCAGGACATAAATAGAAATAGAAAGGGCTTGGTGGACTCCGGTGAGTGATCTGGGTGTTGCAGCAAGAGTGTTGTTTTGGGATTGTCAGTGTGGGCGTTTGTTGTCTGGTCATCCAGAGTAAGAAATTTCAGAGGCAGGAGAAAAACTAAAGAGCTTCCAAATTTTGCTGTGCAAGTCTACATCTCTCTCTCTGGGGAATGGGGGCTTTTGACAAAATTCCTTTATGAAGGAACGGAGCTGTTCTCAGCTGAGCACTCAAGAGGATGCAAAGGCCCGTTAGGGTCTGCTTGTGCTCAGCGCAGGTTGTTGGCATTTCTGGTTGATTTTCAGACAACAAAAGCTCTGTACAGATGCAGGGGTGCAGAGAGGTGGGGTAAGACCCTGAGCTGTGGGTCCAGTCCGACAGGAACCCCTGTGAGGGGGCGGCTCATCTCACTCTCTCCTCTGCTGTCACCCCAAGGACTGCAACTGTTTCCCACTTTTCAAGGACCAGGCCTCATGGAGCAGTGTGAGCTCTCTCCATCATTTACTCTGGCAGAAGCAGTCAATGACCTGGAAAGCGCCCACATGAGTAGAGGGGCAGAACCTGGCTGTCAGTGATGCTCCTCCTGCCACTGCTTGGTCTCCAGGTCTGTGAGGCCTTGCAGACTCGGGGTAGTAAAAGTGTGGTGGCCGCGCTGGGAGCTTGTTTTTGTCACAGCCATCCTGAAAGACAGGAATGAAGCCTCTCTAGGTGCCGCTGCAGCCTTCTTGCCAGAAGAGAAATGGGGGAAAGGAGGATGCCTTTGCGCAACCATGAAGATCTTGCTCCTAATCTGCACCTTTGGAAGAAGCATGATTCAGATCCCTGGAAGAATAAAAGGATCAGTGATGGGGTTTTTTGCCAAGGTTGAGAGCTGCTCTCCACTCCTTCCCCTAAGAAACAAAGCACTGCAGAATCTACCAGAGGACCAGCAGCATCTCCCGTATGTTTCTGGGCTTGGTCCCAGCGGGGCAGTGTTGCCTCGCTGCTGAAAGGCAGAGCCTGGTCTGCTGCACGCTGCTGCCTGCGAGCTGGCTCTCCATCTGAACACCTTCCTCTTCAGGAGAGCAGCAACAGAAGAAGCTTTATGAGTCCCGCAGGGGCAGACGCCACACTGGAGGTTGATTCCTGTCGTACTGTTCACCTGTGTGCAGTGGTGAAGACAGAAGTTTTCCTGGAATAGAGCAAAAGATTTCTTTGATTATCTGAAGGTGATTTCTAGAGAACACAGACAAAAGCAGCTGCTTTTTCTGGGCAGTGTTGCGGAGGGGTATCTATCGGTCTTTGACCCCCTGAAAATAATTCCTTTAACATAAGGATCATCTGTTTGCACTCTTAATGTGCAATAATGTGCAGATTTTCAATATATTAATCCCTGGGACATCAAAAGACAGATTAGGGTGAATGAGGCCACCCAGCCGATGCTGCCAGGTAGCAGCTTCAGCCCTGACCCAGATGGTTTAGAGATGCTCTCTCTGTGTCCTGATGGACATTTCCTGGAGTGCCCAGGCTGCCGTGTGTCAGATTCAGCAGTCAGAATTGTAGGAACTCTGATTTTGGTCTTTTTCCTTGGAAATAAACACGTTTGCTTGGGCACCACAGTTTGTGACACTACCTGTGGTCAGAGCATGAGCTCTCAGAGAGGCAGTTGGGTTTGGTGTTTGTGGATAATTTGGGTGAGGTGAAGGGGCTGTTGTAGTTTGAGTTCACCGTACTGTTCTGACCAACAGACTTATTCAGTAGACTCATATTCTTGTGCCCACAAAAAAAAACCTATCAGCTGAACAGTTCAAAGGTTCTCGTGCTTCAGGGATAAGCAAAGTCCGTGAACCTTGGATTCTTAGGTTACGCCTCTAAACCAACCTCTCTGTGCTGTCAATACGATAAGCACTGGAAGCACCCATCCCAGCTGAGCTCCACCGAGGGCAAACAGGAGTGCAGCGGGTGCTGTACCAGTCGACAGGGCTTTCCTGCGTGGTTTTGGCTTGATTTGTGATTTTTAATGCTGAGTATTTCACCCTTCAGCTGAAGGAAAACTGGCTCGTCTGAGGATGGAGACTTTGAGTCCTAACTGGCCAGCGTGAGCTGGATCCTCGTTACGGATGCTGAACGGCAGAGCAATGAAGGAATCAATCATACGGATGTAGTTTAATGAAAAGTCAATACAGGGGGAAGCAGGGAAAGGAAGAAGCAGTGTTTGTATTTCATCAACAGTAAATTAATGTGTTTTATAATTGCACCCTTTGGGTACAGCAACTACGGCATTCACCTCGACAGTTGTTATACTGAGGAGGAAATTAGCATCACTTGAGAGGCAGAGAACAGCAAAACAAATGTTCCTCTGATGAAAGCAAATCTAGATCAAGTGCTTCTTTGACCCCCATTACAGTCTTGGATGTATTTATGCATCGAGGGTCCAGCAGTGCTAGAGGCTGGCTCCACCTGGCCCAATTTCAATTAATTATAAGTCAGGTTATTTAAGTCTAGGCAACTTCACTAGGCTTTGGCCACAGATAGTGAAGGGCACTTGCTGAAGGCAACTCCCATCACCTTAAAACACGTATCTTAGAGGGCTGGAAGGAATCGCTCCTCTGCGGGTGCCAGTTTCCACCCATCAGTGATGGACCAACCGCTGCATCCAAGGCAGCCAAGCCTGGCTGAAACCAGGGCACCTGAATCCTTATCCAGGGCCCTTCAAGAAGCTGGATGCAGGGTGAAAATTTGAATCTAGGCACCCTGAGTGCCAGGCTGAAGCTCAAATAATTGCTCTGTCCCTCCTTTTCTAATCTGGTAGGCAGGTAACTACTGAGCCCAGTGGAAGTTTTCCTATACAGATGAAGGCTTTCCAGTTTTGGCAGCTCTTCCCCTGGCATTCTTCTCCAGCAGTAAATCACAGAGTGGCTGAGGTTGGAGGGACCTCTGGAGATCGTCTCGTCCAACCCCCCTACTCATGTACATCTGTGCAATTCTCACCCCTGATACAACAGCTCTTCTGTCTTTTGTAAAATTCAGAGATTCTGCCAGAAGCAACTTTAAAGAATGATTTTTTGAGGGGAAAAAAGTGACAGCTGAGCACAGCTATGCCAACAGAGGCTGAGACAGGCTGTCCTGTTCATTACAGAATACGTGAACGGGCCAAGTGGCAGGAGACCACAGGACAGTATGGTCAGTCCTCTGCCTTTCCAGCGAGGACTGAGGCTCCTTCTGGGGAGTGCTGAAGGGCTCTTCTTGTTGCTTCACAGGTCCTGGAGGAGGTGAATCAGGACCTGGAGAGATTTGGAAGCCGTCTGCTAACCAAGATCAAACCTCTGGGCTGGGAATGCGAGTTGAACCCCCCTGTGTTTCGGCAGTACGATGCCTGGGGGCAGCGGGTGGATCACATCTCCACCTGCTCGGCCTGGAGGAGGATGAAAGAGATTGTGGCCGAAGAGGGACTGATTGCTGAGGCCTATGAGCGGAGATACTCCAACTGGAGGTAACTGGGGAGAATGGGAATGACTTGGTGCTTTCCTGGTTACTCTTAGCAAGGTATAGTCATCCTGTAGGACTGAACTTAGTGTTGTATAATGGGTAACAGATGATGCGTGCACAAAAGCGCACCTCCTGCTGTACCGAACAGCAGTGTCTGTCCGCTGTAATGTTCCACATCGGCAATGATAAGCCATAACTAATGGCCAACAGTTGATCATAATAGTCTTTGATGTCACCTTCCTGCTTCTGGGGCCCGGCAGTTCCCAGCTCTACATGCATTAGTTGTAACACAGCTAGAGATCTGGGGTTTTACTTGCAGTCTCATCGTATTCCAGCTTCTGGATGTAGACCCACATCTCTTATTTTTAAAAAATGCACCAGCTGGAAAGCAATGCCTTCCATCTAGCCTCATGGTGGCAGTCCCTCTGGGACTGAGAAACTGCTGCTCCTCTTCTCTCTGCCCTCTCAGAAGTGAGTGGTCCGATTCTCACCGGTTTTGGCTTTATTTTGTTCCTCTCTTCCTAGTCAAGATGTTTTATCCTCCCGCTGTTGAACCGCTGCATGACCTGTCTGTTCTCACTCTCTTTCTTTCCCAGCCGTCTGCATCAGGCTGTCAAACTCTACTTGTTTTCAAGCTTCTCTGGAGGTTTCAGCTGTCCACTGGCCATGACTGATGGGGCAGCCAAAGTCATTGAGGTATGAGCTCAGCGGGTCCCTGTGGGCACAGCCCACGTCCTGGCAGCGCTGGTTAGAGTCCAGAGCACTGGCCAAGGATGGAGGAGAGCTGCTCTGCCATCTGGCTCTGGGCACGGCCCTTCCTTGCTCTGTGACTCAGCTCCATCTCCCCCTGCCTTTCTCCTTCAGTTACAAAGTCTTTGTGCCCAGGCCAGCCTTTATGTTTACTTACAACACTGTGTGCCTTTGCCACACGTGTATCTGCGGCACTGCAGATATTTGGAAAGGTGTCACATATGTTTTTACTATGAGTTAGTTTTCCTGTTCCCTGTGTGGACGGGCCGTTAAATGTATTGGGCCAGATCCACACCTGATGTAAATTAACCAAGCTAGCAAGACTTGTCCAGTCTGAGGATTTGGCTCCGCTTCTTAGCAACACCCTTTGCAGTATGGCAGTGGCTATGTAGGATGCAGAGAAAAGCTAGCCCTTAAGTAGCTAGCCCTGAGCATTTTAATTCAATCAAAATAAGGGCGTAAGGCAGTTACCTCTTTCCTGCAGGTCTTTGGTCACTGGTGACACCCAGCGTATATGAACGTACGCTGATACCCTGCACATCTGCTGTTTTCAAAGCTCTCTGTCAGGTGTCTAGCGGTGCAGCAGGGGGCAGGGATGATCAGCGCTCTCCTTTGCAGCACGAAGCAGCACCTTTGGTCTGCGCAGTGCTCCAGCAGCCGTGAGGAGCCGGGCGGTTTCACAGACTCTCAGCCATACACACGGATGCGCTGCAGTGCAGGACGCTCAGAGCCCCCCTCGCCGCTTGCAGAGTGTCCGTTCTGAGCCTAGGGTTAGTCGAGGCAACTGTCTAACTTCATCTACTGTGTTATCATGGTCACTTCAGTTTCTTTTCCCTCTCCCAAAACAGTCACTAGGTATTCCTGGATCTCTGAAAAACGCTTTTGACCATCTGACATCCCGTGACCCCAAGAAGTTCTGGACCTCTGGCCAGTGGATGACCGAGCGCAGGGGAGGCTCTGATGTTGGTATGTGTTTTGAGGCGGGAAGCAACTGCAGCAGCAGCTACTTGTGTTAGTGAGAACAGAGAAAATGAAGGGTGTGGGGAACATATAAAGCCAGGTAACTGGTTTAGGAAACCTCAGCAGATGTCATCCAAGCCCTCCGCGTAGCTTTTTAACCAACAAAAGGTCCAGCGTCTGTGCACTGTAACACAGGCAGGTACAGAGCTGTGTTCCTTGCACAGACCACACACTGATGTCTAGCTCTAGCACCTAAACCTTAAGCAAGACAGCCAGACCCATCCCAGCTGGGACTAAAAAATGATTCGTGGGCTCCAACTTCTGCCCCCTGGCTAATGTTAGTGAGAGCGTGATGGACCAGGAAACGTCAGAACTCCGCTGTGGAGACAGAAATGTGGAAGGGGAGTCGCCTCCATCGAATGAAGCTGCAGTTGGTTTCCTGGTGGAAGAAGTGAAAGGGCCAGCTGTGGAGTGAAAGATGTGCATCATTGCAGGACTCCTGATTCCATAGCACCCTTTGTTGTTCCTGGCCATGGTAGTTCCTAAAGAAATGGACACACTGGATTATACACCATGGTGCATTCTGCTCATGAAGCACTGCTGTTACCAGCTGTTCGTCTGGAGCGGTTGCTGGAAAGGCTTGCAGTTAAACAGACCATATTTCCTTTCTAGTACTTAACCCTGGCTGCATTGCTTATTCAGGGTCAATGAAAGAGATTAGCAGCTAATCCATACTGCATCTTGATAGCAAGAAGTGACTTAAAAGAGCTGCTGCTTAAACCGAAAATCAGCATTGATTGATACAGAAGTTCCCATAACGCCAAGATGATCTCCTTTCTTGCAGCTAACGGCACCGAGACAGTGGCCAGAAAGCAGCCAGATGGTACCTATCATCTCTATGGTTTTAAATGGTTTACCTCAGCTGCTGATTCTGACGTGACATTAACCCTGGCCAGGGTAGCAGATGCTGAAGGACAAGTAAAGCAGGTCTGTTTGATGGTAGAACCCACTGAAGGAGCTGGAGCATTCTTTTTCTTGTTTCACTGTAATGAAATCCTCTTTGCACGGCTTTTTAATGGCCACAGGGTTCCAGCGGCCTGTCCCTGTTCTTCATGAAGGTTCGAGATGAGGAGGGGAAGCTGAACAGCATCAAAGTGCAAAGGCTGAAAGACAAGTTGGGCACACGGCAGATGGCAACAGCAGAGCTATGGCTAGACGGAGCTAAAGCAGAGCTCGTACGTAAAGTTTCACCTTCCTCTTGGGACGGGGCTGGCTTGGCACGGCAGACCACTCATGGCTTTTTGGCAGTGATATCGACTGAAGAAGTTCCTCTCTTCCACTTCTGTGTTTGCTCCACAAAAGCCTTCACAACCGAGGCTACGTGTGGGACAGACCTGAGAAGAGCTCAGGGAAAGATGGGAGGGAAGAAAAAAAAGAGTCATTTTAGGCTGGCCATTTCCCTAATCCAGTTGCATTGGCCCAGCTGAGAGACCGTGTAGCGTGCAGGTAGGGACAAGCAGCAGGGACCAGAACTGATCACACTGACATGGTCTCCAAAGCCACTGCCCTGGTCATGCCACAGACTTGGCTAAAATGAGTCAGCCGTATTTCAAAGCAAGCAGATCTTTGTGTTGCCTGAGGACACACAGAGGCAGAGTGAGCAGCCAGTGTCTGTCTGTCTGCTGACACAGCTTTCACTTAGATATGTGTCCACCTCCATGACCACCTTACGTCAGCCTTTGCTCCTTGATGCTTTCAGATCTCTGCAGAGGGTCGTGGAGTGGCCTCCATCTCCAACATGCTGAACATAACTCGGATCCACAACGTCATTGGCGCAGTAGCTGCCATGAGAAGGTGAGCGCAGCATCGATCCCCCCAGAGCTGAAGAAGCACCTTATCAGGACAAGGGGACTTTGCAATGCTCAGCATTGCAGCCAGTTGACATCTGATGCCTTTGCAGGCACAGGTCTGAAATCTACCAGTGCTGGAGAAGGTTGGGCTGTGGGTGGGTGACCTAGGCTGGTGTGCTACAGCTGAGCAGGCTTTTTACAGTGGGGGTGGCTGGAAGGGGAAGCTCAGAAGTGGAAGGGTGCTGGTCTAACTGCTTTCCCTGGCTGTATCCTCTGTAGGATGCTCAGTCTGAGCAGGGAGTACGCCCGTAAGCGGGTTGCCTTTGGGAAGCTCCTCAAGGACCATCCCCTACACATGCAGACAATAGCCCGGATGGAGGTAAGGCTTTTGGCTGCCAGGCTAAACCTGTTGGCGAGGAAAGGGGGCAGAGATCCTCAGCTGCCAGGGACTGCAGCCAGTCCGCCTCTGTGTGCAGCAGTCACATGCAGGAGGCTGTTCCTGGTGCAGTGAGATGTATTGCCATATTCTGGTGGGATTTGATCTAATGATAGATCTAGCTTCTCTGCTGGACTCCAAGTTATCCTAAATGACAATTACCTGGGAGCTACCCTGAGAGGAGTGCCAGTATTCATGCAGGCACTTACTGTGATATGCTGTGACCTCTGAAAGTGGTCATTAACATCAGAGTTCAAACATGACACCACAGTCTCCTGAGCTGCACTTAACAGGCTCTTGTCCAAGACTGGTACAGACTCATCCAACTTCCCTGGTAGCTCATGCACCAGGAGATGGGCTGTTCCCAGCAGGCTTGAAGAATTCCCGAGTAGTCACCGTGCACTTTAGCTTCTGAGAAGTTTGTCTTCACTTTGGACCTGCACGGTGCTCATCACCACAAGACACTGAGCTTGAGTACAACCTCCAGATGTGAATGTCATCTGAGGCAGTAACAGGCAGTGGAAGAGAGCAGCCTGAACTGGCACTCTGGCTCTGGGAGGAATGTCACGTGTGGGCCTTCGCCCACTGCAGAATGTCTCGCAGCTTTGCCACAACACTCAGCTCTAGTAGCTTGCAGGACACAGGTAGCTTCCCACCCCTATTAAAACTTCAAAAAGGAGGCACACAGTCCTCTTCCTCTCTCACCCATCCAGGCACCACTTCTTTTCTTAAGTGGTGTAATGCCAACACTTGCCCTTGGGCTGCAGTAGGCTCACACAGATTTTTAAAACGGTATTTAAAAATCCTCTTGCAAAGTGGGGGAGAGGGAAAGTGGTCAACGTCTGTCAAACATAAGTTAAAGCTCCAGCATCTTTTATCCTGTGGCCAGAACACCACCTCTGAAAGGAAGGCCAGATCCTGTATAATCCCACAGCACATCATTATGCACAGGGGCTACAGAGCTCCATATCCTGATGCTTCCCAAATCCCAGCTTGCCAGGGAAACAAGTTGCTCAGCAAGAGATCTGTCAAAGACCTTGCAGATCCTGGTGCTCAGAGGTTGACCATCAGATGTGCAGTCTTATGTCACTGAGCCTTGGAAAGAATGTGGATTTGTGATCTGAATGCCTTTGATATGGCTCCGACTAGGCCTGATGAAACAGCATTGCTGTTTCCTCCTCCTAGAATGCAGCACCCAAGCGTGGCAGCTCCAGACTACCTCTAGTATTTCATGCTTTGTGCCTTGGCTGGTTGGTGGTCTTTGTCTCCGAAGCTGTGGGTCTGTACAGGCAGGGCTGGCATTTTGTGCAGGTCCAGTATCGCGCATCCCTTCGAGATCATCTCATGGCACCTCAGCAGACCAGGCTGGAATCAGCCCGAGCCACAGATCCTTGCCAGTGAAGCTCCCCACTTCTCTGCTTGCAGGTGCAGACACGAGGGGCGTTTCTTCTGGCTATGGAGATTGTTCGTCTGCTTGGACTTGTAGAAACCAACATGGCGAGTGAGCAAGAGCAGCTTCTCTTGAGACTGCTGATACCAGTTGCCAAACTGTACACTGGGAAGCAGGTATGGAACAACCCGCTTGATTAGCCTGGAGTGGCTCTGTGTGGCACATTAGCAACCGCAGAGCTGGAAAGGGGAGTGATTAACACAGCCAAAATGCAGGGCAGGGGATGCCGTCAGTGACCTCCAGCTGCAGAGCCTGCACCGAGGCTGGACTGTGTGGGCAGACTTGTGCCTTTGCTCCCAAGGCCACAGATCAGCTGTTCGATCAGAACAGACCAGCACTGTCTGTGCAATGCTCCACAAATGAATGCTGCCGAGGCTGCCCCGAGACCACGGTGGGGCACTGAGCCACACGAATGTTATGAATGCACAGAAGAGAAGGTGTCAACAGCTTAGCATTCACCTAAACTTCAGGGGTCTGTCCCTCTTCTAATTCCCCTCAGCTTACATACACAGAACCTTACACACCATAGGCAAGTAGAAGGGTAAAGACTCCTGGACCAGAGACACGTACTGCCACATACCAAGCAAACCACAGGTTTATCTTTCCCTAGAGAGGACCGTACTGAGACATATTCTCCCTGGATCTTCTCCCAAGGTCTGACTGCTCCTGCAGGTTCTCTCTCTGTGTTCCTCAGTTTTCATTCCCCAGGTGGCTCCCCCTGCATATAAGTGAGGAACCCACCTCTGCAAATCAGTGGGATTCAGTCAGTCCCATCCCAGCAGGAGCTGCTGTGTGATGGTAGAGGTTTCTGGCTGCTCTTTCCCCTTGTGCAGTGTGGATCATGTCAGCTCTCTGTGTTTTGCAGGCTTCTGCTGTTGTTGTTGAGGCAATGGAGAGTTTTGGAGGACAAGGTTACATGGAGGACACAGGCTTGCCAGTCATAGTCCGCGATACGCTGGTAAGAGAGCAGCAGGGGAAGCAGAAGAAGCTCCTGTGCATCACTCAGGCCCCTGCGCAGTTTTCTGTGATTACCTGCCAAAGAAACGCCCAAGGGACAACACAGTCCTGCCCAGGCTTGCTCCAGGCATGGCAGCTCTTTCCTAGTTGCCTTCCAGCTGAGGCCAGTCATCACCTAGGGGAGGATGTAGACTGTTCCTGATTCTGGGGTGGTTTCCTAGCTCTGGAATGGAGCTGGGCTCCTGGCTCTCACCACCACCGCTCTTTTCCACTTGCAGTGGGGCAAGACATCTCTGGAGGTTTCTTTGATATCCCTTAGCTCTGCCCCATGTCTTTGTTTCCTCACATTTCTCTTTCTTCATTGCAGTTGCTCCAAAAGGCTCCTTCATGCTCTGCCACCGTCTCCTCTACCCCACAGGTGCTGTCCATATGGGAGGGAACAACAAACATCCTGTCACTTGATGTCCTGCGATCCCTCACCAAGAGCCAAGGACGGGTGATGGCTGTGTTCTTCTCCACAGTGCAGGTGAGCCCACATCAAAAGCACTGCTCGGCCCGATTTGCCCACCATGGCAGAGTCTTATCTGGTGTTTGTGCTCCTGGCTGAGACTGGTAGGGAACAGGACCAAACTGGAAGCTATAGACAAGTGTTCAGAAGGTGTCTTACAATTCTGCTCTTTAAATAGCACTTACAAAAGCAGAACACATGCAGTGCCCATTTTGGGATCCTTATGTGTTGCAAAATAATGCAGATACTTTCATCTCAGCAGTGAAGAATTTTGTATTGTCAGAGTTCCTCATGACAGATACATAGAAGTGTGTCTTTAATGTGAGTCATCCTCCTGAATCCAAAATAATTTTGTGGTTCTGTTCTTGACTGAAAAAACACCACAAGACTGCTGAATACTAAACCTGCATTATTACTTCCTATTTTTATTCCCACTGAAACGATGAAAAGAGCCAAAGAAATTCCATTGCTGCCTCTTCAGATTTGCTGTTCTCTGCCTTTACCTACGGGCTGCTCTGTTCAAGGTGCTCAGATGACAGGCAGTCACAGAGACATCAAAGCAGCTCGGAATTTCAGGAAGGTAAATGAGCATGGGCTGGCTTGATGTGTCTCATGAAGGGAGACAGGAACCAGCCTGAAAGGCAGGATCAGCATCTCAGAGGGTGTTCCCTGAGAGATTAGATTATTAATCCAGATAGAGCAATCCAGATTAGCCCAGAGGCAGTGAGGGAATCCTGGGCATCTGGCGTGCTGGCTTTGGCAATGCATAGCCCTCACTTTCTCAGTCTGACCCCATCAGAAGGGACAGGCCTGGGCCACTGCCCTCCAGGCAGCATTGACAACTGGCTCAGCCTTTCAATAACACACGAGCAAGAGCCTGACTCCTCACCAGTGCCTGCAGTTGGCAACTTCAGTTATGTTTCAGGCCCCCGGCTCAGCTGTGCTCTGTGCAGATTTACACCTCCCTGACCTCCAGAGACGGGCGTCTTCTTGCCACCCTCTCACACAACTTTTGATAAAGGAAAAATGCCTCGAACAATTGGACTACCAACCAAGACAGCCAAATCTGCTCGTAAGCAAGGCTGAGCGCACCTGCTAATTACAAAGCAACTGGTCCAGCTGTTGGTGAAAAGCAGTTTAGTCTGACACTGAAGGTAATAGAGTGGAGAAGGAAAGGAGCGGATGGCAGGCTCCAAAAATAACTTGGGAAGACGCCGGCCTCCACAGGCTTACACTTAGGCTAATTTAAACAAATACCCAAAGAGGTGCCATACCGCAGCCCTCGGAGCTCCTTGCTGGTGTGGCTGAGAGGGTCCCCTCAGCTTCTTAACAACTGGATAATCAGAGAAGCATTACCGAGCAGAGCAACGTGATTCAGAGCAGGTACCTGCACAGCAGTGACACCAAGTATGGAGACTTATTAATTAACAAGCTCATCATTGCTCTTGCACTCCCACAAATCACGCTGTGCGTGAGACTGGAGGGTGAGCAAGCGAGCACTGGCTTTAAAGGTCTCCAAATTCCGGTAAGTGCCATCGCGTTTGCTGTTTGCATCGCACTGAGGCTGCCTCCGTGTCCACAGAGCCTGGCTGCAACGGCTGAGCTGGGAGAGCGGTGCGGAGGCACTGGATCTGGGTGCAATAGATCGTACAAAAAAATTTACCTGGCCTTGTCAGAAAGCTGCTCCCTTGTGCCTTCAGCAGCCAGGCACTGGAAAGGCACTGGGAGGCGTCTCTGCAGAGTGCATTGGGCAGGAACGTGCTGAGTTTCTACACCAAAATCGGGGTTTCGCTCACAAGTGATAAACCACCTCTCTTTGAGCCCCAGGTGTCCAAATTCCTTTGGTCTTTGGGAGTCTGGCTCACTTTGAAACATCCTTCCCATACCCATCTAGAGAGGAAATAATTTAGCGCTTCGTAAAGGGATTTTTACTGCTCCAGTCCATTTCCTTTTTATTGATGCACACAAAAATAGCGCAATTGATTTTCTGTTTGTCCATCAAAGTTCTCAGTCTGCAGGATTTGTGCCCAGTGACAGGCTGCTTTGCAGAGAGCAGCACTAGCACTCTGTTGGTACAGCATCGCTTTCTGTTCTCTGAAGGTCGTATCTCCGGGCGACTCCTCCTGACCCCACCATCAGCTGTTCTGGCTGTTATCCTGGGTTCCCACTGATGGGGGGATGCCCAATGCTGATGGTGCTGTGGTCCAGGAGCAGGAACCCAGTCTCATTATCCTCAGGAAAAGGGCAACACCGAGAACTTCTCCATCCGTGCACAACGGGATTTTGAGAAGCTGGATTTTTAGGGTGCTTGACACAAAGCAAGTTTGTCACAAACCACCCAGACCAGAGGCAATGAGTCTGCAAAGCCTCGGGAGAACCCACGGTGAGCAGAGCACGTGCGAGGGACGGCCCTGGCCTCAGCTCAGCCGTGCTGGGACTTCAGGTGGGCACTGCACAGGAGCAGTCGTTTCACGTTACACTAAAAATGTATTAGCTGGAATTTTGAGCCAGAGCATTTGGAGTACTTGAGAATTCAATTACAGCCTGAAAAGTGACTCTAAGTAGCACTAGGGAATTGTTTGATTATTGCATTTGAGTCACTTTAGATTAAATTCGGTCACATCCCAGTACGGTCGTGTTTCTGCATGCCAGCCCTGCAAGCATCTTGCAGAGCTCAGAATCAACTGGGGTTTGTATCGAGAATGGCTGTGCGGGGCTGAACGTGTAGCTGTAAATCGGACCTGCAATCTAAGACGTGTGATGGTGTTTCCAGGTCCTTTTCAGACCATAACCACAGTTTTAGCACAACAGGAAATAAATCTAGGTTATTAAAGTGAGACTATGAGTTTGCTTGAAACATTAATATGAGACTCGTGCTTCTAGCCCTGTTGTGGATGTTTTCCCTGTTGCTGCATTTTTAAATACTCAAGATTATTTAACTAAAAACCATTCTGACAGTCTTGCTTGGTAGCTAGTGAGTGCAAACAAGTGAGTGGCATCTTAAAATCCCCCAGTGAAAACCGAAGGAATCAGAAATACCAGAGCTTAAAGCTCTAAAGCTTTTTTGCTCTGATTTCAGTCAGAAACGACCCGCGCAGGCGGCCGGGCGACGCCGTGTGCCTCCCCTCCGTTATGGCCCGCAGGGACTGGAGCAGATCAGCATGCAGAGAGAAAACAGGAGCTGCTGCTGCCTCCAGCATCGTCCCTGGAGCTGCTCTCGAATGCAGGGGAGGATGTGGAAAAACCCAGCTTGATCTTTCAGAAGATCAGGAAAAGAACGAGCGCAAGCTGAAATGTAAAAGTGTAAATTATCAGAGAGCAAAGAAAATACAGTGTCTTCTTCCCCCTAAGGTTCAAGTGATGCTTTTACACTCCTGGTCTGTGCTGCCCAGGCCCCAGGCAGCGCAGGACGTGGCTCTTGGTACCCCAGCCACTGACACAGCAGCACGGGCGCCATCCCTGTGCTTGGCCGCTGTGATGCTGGCTCCCACCCAAGCTGCTGGGAATACGCTGCTGCCTTTGGGGTCTTTGTTAGCAGCGAGCTCCGAGCGACTTTGAAAACAGCTTATTAGCATTCTGTGGGCTCGGAGGGTGCTTGGACTTTATCTTGGCACCACAGCTAACCGCTTTAACGATGATGTGTTTGTATTTGTACAGCATATGCTGTGAGTATTTCTGCACCGCTTTGCCTGGAGCACAGAACAGCGTCCATTGAGGGGTGTGTTGTTCTTGCAGGAACAGTCAGAAAGCACAGGGCACTGGTCAGGCGGAAGGCGCCTTGCACAGACGCTCTGCAGAAACAAACCTGGGTTCAGCTGTGCAGTCCGGAGCCCTGCTGTGCAAACAAGCTGCATTTTCACGTGCTAGCAAGAGGAGCTGCATGATCACTTAAGCACTGAAAGCCTCAAAACCATAAAAAATGAGCTCTGCATAGCAGATACTCACAGGCTTTAGCTTCATAAATAATCTGCAAATGAGACTAATTAACAAAAAGCCGCTACTTAAACACCTAACGGCTCCTTTTTGCGACTCTGTCCGAGGTAATGCTTCAGTTCTCCTGCAGAGACAGGTTTGAATATTGCAGAGCTGCAGTCGCAGCACCCGGGGCTGAGTGCAGGGCCCACCTGGCTGCGGCAGAGCCCGCTCCCGAGCGCCGCGGGGGAACGCGGGGCCTGGAGGTCGGTGCTGGCCGCACGGGTCAGAGCTGGCTGCGTGTGTGACTTCAGGGGGACCGCGCTGTCACCCCAGCCTGGCAGCTCCGCGCAGAAGGCGAGCTCTTCTCGTTCGATCCTCCTGAAAGGGAACAGCAGGGGAAGCCCAGAGGAAAGGCCAGCCTCTGCCACGGGCACGCCATGTCCAAAAAGCAACTATTTTAGATTCTCTTGGCAGAGCATCTCTCGTGCTTTCACAGGGTATTTGGGGTACTGGAGAAACAGCAGCTTGGCTTGAGCTGGGGGTGCTTCTAGGTGGTGCTTTCATGCACAGTTAACGCCTGCCGTCCGTCAGAAGAGAGCAGCTCTGGTCCTGGGGCCTTTCCCGTGGACACGAGTTGCAGACAAAAGCTCCCTTAAATCTGCCTTTTCCAACTGTAGCACCTTTGTGGAAGTAAGAGTGTAGAGATGGGAGAGTCAGAACCTGCACAGGTGTGCAGTTAGAGAGAACTGGGGACACGATCCGGGCCCCACGTGCGGCTGGAAAGCCCGCACAGACACAGCAACGCTGGGCCTGGCTCACAGGAACTGTCCCTCCTCAAGGCAAGGCTGGAGTTTCCTTTTGGCAAATCCCCTTTCCTGCTCTGGCCGCTCCGCCTGCAGCAGCGCAAGCTACAGCCACCTCGGCTTAAGCTTTTTGCTGTAGCTGGGTGTGCTCAGGATCCCGCCAGCCCCGTTTCCTTGCAGAAGGTAAAAACGCTGCAATTTTCCCTGCAATTGTTTGCTTTGCAGAAAAAACTGGAGCTGGCTTCGAGCGCTGCGAAACTGGAACCTGCCGTGAAGCAAATGCAGGACGCCATCGGCAGCCTCACGCGGTCCATGCAAGCAGCTGGTTCGAAGGGGGCAGCGACCATGGAGCTCGCAGCAAGGGACTTCTCCTACGCCCTAGCAAGGATCTACGCAGGTAGGGAGAAAGACAGAAACGGTGGATTTCAGACCAGGAGAGGGCTGGGAATCGCCCCTGCGATGGCCTGGCTCCACGCTCCTGCGTAAAGGGTGCAGTTTTAAAGAAAGCTCGGTCCCTACCTTCTTTCACCCTGAGCTCGGCCTGGCGATGCTGCTGAAAAGTCATCCCCGGCCGCTCTACACAAGCTCTTGCTGTTCTGATGTCTCCTACTTTTCCACAGGAGCTCTTTTAATTGAACACGCAGCCCGGCCCGATGCTTCCTCCACAGACGTCTCCGCCGCTCGAAGGTGAGCAAAGCCCTGCTCGAGCCTAACCATTTTAGGTGACTTCTTGTGCAACGCAGCAGGCTCTGCTCTGCCTCTCCAAGTGATCTGACCCCTGCCATGGCGAGACCCCAACTTCCTACCACTGCAGGAGGAGACAAACGGCATCCCGGGTCGGTTGCTGTCAAATCGGGGCTTTTCCCTGCCAGGGGAAATCTCTGGCGAGAGGGATCCAAACTGGGCAGGACTGAAGTGGAAACCAGCGCTGCCTGCGTAGCGG